GATGTAACAAGGACTAATAGGAAGTGTGTGTTGGAAAAACCATGTGTTGTCGTGATTGTTTCTGCAGGATAGTTTCACCCCTCATGTTGATTGCTGGAGATGTTGCAGAGAGGCTAAGCATCATATGATGTCAATATGTTGGGGAATTTTGAAAATACGCCCCACTTCTGGGTATGGAACTTTCAGACATGCTTAGTCTGCTCTAACATGGTTTGTGATGTCACTCATTGGTTTTGCATTGGGTTGTCATGATTAAATGCTGCTTACACAAAAATGTGGCATGATCCCCTGATTTATGCAGAGTGACTTTGCATTCATGTGCTTTTGCTGGACAGCTTGTATATGACACAAGGAACTTTCCCCTCTCTGATACACTCTTATAACTAGTCCACAGTTATATTCTGAGATATACCTTTTCCGTACAGTCATATAACGTTTGTTTTACTTTTTTACGCATTCCAATCTCATGCCACAATATTTCACACTCATTAATCGATACAATGGGCTGGATTCTTTAAGCTAAATGAGATGTTCCTCTATTTATTGAATAGCAATGTCCCCATAGACTTCCATGGAGCAATTGTTATACAATAAGCAGAGCAAACTCTCCGTTAAAAAAATCCAGCCCAATATTGGTAATTACAGTCTTGTGCTGGTCACTGCCTTATAACTGTTTACGTTTTCCAGAGTAAAATATAGCTTTAAAAAAATAATCCATCACAGACATTCTTTGTAGTGTCTAGATAATAGCATCAACAAACTGGTTCTGCCTCTTGCACACCTAAACCTGCTTTAGGTAAAACGCATGAAGGACCATTGACAGTCTGTCTCACCCCTATATTCTGGTCCTTCAGATTCTTTTTTTTTGTAAATACGTTTTTATTTATTTGTGATATAATGAAGCATGGTTATGGATACGCAGATCCTTACGGTTAACACAGTAGGTGTGGAGCAACAGGATAAGAAGCAAGTATTACAGTTGGAAACAAATATAAATCATGAAAGTGTGAAGTTTAGGTTTGTCATCTCAAAAGCCTGTTTAGGGGTAGAACTCGCTGGTCCGGTTCCGTTACCATGAGCATGTATAGATATGTAGTTTCCCTCCATGCTAGTGGCCATAAAAGAGTGTCCCTGCATGACTTTGAGTCCACCCCAGTAACACTACATCCCATAATCTATGGGAGTTCGCCTATGGGTAGTTGGGAGGTGTCGTGGCGCTGCAAACATATTCCTTGAGTCAGAGGTTCCTGCACCCCTACGTGTTAGAGAAAATAGTACTAGATCTATGTATAATTAGGTGGGTTTCATTTCTAAAACAGCGGTGGTGTTGCATGAAGGCGTGAATAGTTGAGACTCCCGCTTTCCAGTGTGGGGTCACCTCTGCGGAGTACGAGCTTATCCCTTACCGTGCTTATCGACTGAAGGTCGATGGCCTCTATCAGTGACTCTATCTCGTGGGAGTCAGCAGTTTGCTCCTCTTTATGACTATTTGAGCGGGCTCGTTATCGGAGTTACTTATAACGGAGCTCGAGCATTGCCTTGGTCTCAGTTCGCAGCCCCCAAAGCGTGCTGTCCTTTATTATCAGTTACTATGTGTGAGATCGTTGCGAGCATTCTAAGGTGGTTGTCTTGCACGGTGTGTGAGTTTGTTAGGAAGTACTTTTGTCTACAGTTTGTGTGTTTGTGTGTGCTTTCGTAATTTCGAGGTGCCCGGCTACCGGGTCCCGGAATGCCCGAGGTCCGTGGCAACTGGTGGGCATTCCTGTCTTTTGACAACTCCCATTCTCTGTCCGTAGTGTGTTTGTGCATGTCCTCCCCTGTTCATTTTATATCGAGTGTTCATCCTGGGATTAGCCCGACCGAGTCCGGTATCCAGCTCCCCAGATCTCGGGGACCCAGCAAGAGGGGGTAAGGGAGAAAGTAAAGGCAGGAGAAAATGAGCAGTAAAGGGGTAGGGGTTATGATCAAAGTTAAGTGGTGTCCATGTCCCCTGCTGTCCCCGTCCCGGCGACAGGTGCATCCCCATCTAGCCGGTAGCGGGTGATGTATAAGAACCACGGCATCCACATCTCGGCGTGTGGTCCTTCAGATTCTATCCAACAAGGAATGTCCTGCAGTAGAGTTCTGAAAGGTTTTTATTTATAAATTTATAGTGCCTTATGTGCTGATAGTGTGTGTAAAGACTAGATTGTGAGTGGCATGTCATTTTTCTTTAAAAGAATATTAGACTTGTGCCTGCACAGGAATTTAGTTCATCTAAACAATTAGTTTGAAATAAAAAAATAAATAAAACTATTTGGACCTTGTTTTCTAGGATCGTCATTGCTTGTATTTTCACTGGTGATTTTCAGAGCTAAAAAGCACAGATCTACCACTCAAAAGAAAATAACTTGGCTTGAACAATCCATTGGTTTCCATTGTTATAGAATTGTCGCACATTTGCTCTTAAACATTGCCTCCACGATTACCAGCTCTCTTCACTTGCACTTTAAGGTAATAGCCAGCATTTTGCATAAATTCATTTAAATGCTTAAAGGACCACTATAGGCACCCAGACCACTTCAACTCAATGAAGTGGTCTGGGTGCCAGGTCCCCCTAGTTTTAAACTGCTGTGTGTACACTGCAGGGTTAATCCAGCTTCTAGTGGCTGTCTCCCTGACAGCCACTAGAGGCGCTTCCGCGATTTACACTGAGTAAATTGCACTTATTTTATGCTGGACATCCTCACGTACCTTAAGTTTAAAAAAAAGACCCCAATAGGAAAGCATTGAGTAATGCTTTCCTGCGAGCGGGTTTGATTGCACGCGTGCCTCTGGCCACGCATGAGCATTCGGCTCCACCCAGAAGGAGAGGTCACCAGTGCCGAGGGAGCCCAGTACTGGATTAAGGTAAGCAAATAAATGGTTGATTAACCATTTATTCGCCACGGAACATGGCCCTAGCTCTGTAGCATTAGGAATACATATTTGTATTCCTAACGGTATACTGTTTCTTTAAAGGACCACTCTAGGCACCCAGACCACTTCAGCTTAATGAAGTGGTCTGGGTGCCAGGTCCAGCTAGGGTTAACCCATTTTTTCATAAACATAGCAGTTTCAGAGAAACTGCTATGTTTATGAATGGGTTAAGCCTTCCCCCTAATCCTCTAGTGGCTGTCTCATTGACAGCCACTAGAGGCGCTTGCGTGCTTCTCACTGTGATTTTCACAGTGAGAGCACGCCAGCGTCCATAGGAAAGCATTATGAATGCTTTCCTATGTGACCGGCTGAATGCGCGCGCAGCTCTTGCCGCGCGTGCGCATTCAGCCGACGGGGAGGAGAGAAGGAGGATCGGAGGAGGAGAGCTCCCCGCCCAGCGCTGGAAAAAGGTAAGTTTAACCCCTTTCCCCCTTGAGGAGCTGGACGGGAGGGGGACCCTGAGGGTGGGGGCACCCTCAGGGCACTATAGTGCCAGGAAAACGAGTATGTTTTCCTGGCACTATAGTGGTCCTTTAAACATACTACTTCCAATACAAAATATAATATTTGCAGGTGTATCATTATCTGGCATAGGAAACTGTACACACATTTCTCAGCCTGTCCTTAAAGAACACTCAAACACCATAACTACTTTAGTGCATCACAATGGTTATGATGCAATGAGTGCCCTAGAGCCCCCCCTTGTGAGGTGTCAAACTGTTTGATAATGGTTTGACTTCTTACTTGGGGTCTTCCGGGCGTGACTCCCCGTCTCCTCTACAACTTAATAAAAACCAGAAACCTTTACTCCTGAGTTCCCATTAGCTTTCCAAAACTAAAACCTGCGGATCACTGTCTGATGGCTCTCAGCCAATGTGGTCAGCCCTGCACTGCCGGTTTAGCTCAGTGAAAAGAGCTTCTGACTCCTACTAAGCAGTAGTGGAGACGGGGAGCAGTGCCTTGCTTTCCCCCATCAGAAGTCAAACTGTTCTAAAAACGATTTGATTCCTTACAATGGGGACTCCTGGCACCATAACCACTACAAAAACTGCAGTGGTTTTGGTGCTTGGAATGTTTTATTTAATTTATCTCACATCTTAATAAAACAATCTGCTGTTTAGAATACTTAAATCTGTTATTCAGACTTATCCTTTCTATGCTAAAGGACATGGCACAATGTCAGTGCTCTGTTGAAATTATCTATTTAAGAAATAATTCAGAGTAAAGATTAAATCCAGAATTGTTCACCCAAGAGTATTTACTTCCATATATAGACTGATCCTTTAGCCGTTTATTTGTGAGAGATTCACTGTAACTGAATTTTTTTTTTTTAGCATATTTTAAGATGCCGAATACCAGCGAGCAACTACTTTCTACATTTAGGAATTATGGTATTGGTAGTTTAACCACTCTCATATGTAATATCTATGCGTGGAACACAGAACGAGAATATTTAAGTAAAAAATAATGTATTTGTTGCTCAGATGATTTAAAGAATGACGACTGAGAATTATCAGAATATGTTTAGCAACTAACATATTCTTCAAGCAATTCTGTAACAGAAAAGGAAACAGGTTTCTTTTGGGAGAGGTGAGGTCCCAACTTGTTACTGTAATTCAGTTACTTTGTTTTCACTGTACAATCAGTCATTCACTTTCTATATAATCCTGTTATCTGTAGAATTTGGACAGTGATTGTGACAACAGACTTAATTCAGCAGAGAAAGGGTTTATCTCTCTCACCTAATCTCTAAGTTATTTCTGATATCTGATCACTAAAATATTTTCTCTTGTCCTGTCTTTGTTTTTGTATATTTTTTTTTAACCCCCCCTCCTTTTTGTTCTTCTACCTGAGCCTGGGACACCCTCCCATGAATGAAATCTTTTGTTTAAACTTTCAGGGAAAATAAAGCAGTCTGTTTGCTTAGTGTCAGATGAAATTTCAAGGGCAGTCCTGAAAAAAAAGGATCATACTAGCAGACCAATGAGAAAGTTCTGTTGTTGTCTGGCATTAAAATAGGGAACCGGTAAATTCCACAGTTTTTTTTTTTTTGGCACCACCCAGTGTGAGAGGGATAAAAGGAGGCTAGGACAGAAAGACAGTTACACTCCTGTGATCTGCATCTCTAGGTCTGCTGTAACCAGCTGCTCTACTTCCAAAAATGTCTTACTCCATGCGTCAGACCAGCTATGCAAGCTCCTCCAGAGGGCTTGGAAGTGGTATTGGTGGTGGATCTCAAAGGTTTTCCATCAAAGCCCCAAGTGTCCATGGTGGTTATGGAGGACAAGGGGTCTCTGTGTCATCTGCCCGGTTAGTTTCCTCCGGTTTTGGAGGACTTGGAGGTGGCAGTGGTTACAGCAGTGGGTTTGGGTCTGGTGGTGGCTATGGTGGCTCATACAGTGTTAGCGTGTCGGGGGATGCCTTGCTTTCTGGAAATGAGAAGCAGACCATGCAGAACCTGAATGACCGTCTGGCCTCGTACCTGGACAAGGTGCGTTCATTGGAGACCGCAAACTCAGATCTGGAGGTGAAGATCCGGGAGTGGTATGAAAAGCAAGGACCTAGCCCAACACGTGACTACGGCCAGTACTTGAAGACCATCGATGACCTCAGGGACAAGGTGAGTTTGGACACTTGCTATTTGTTTAAATAACATCTCCCTATAAAAAATACAGCTAATCATGGATGCTAAAACTAACACTCAAATTGCCATTTTATTTCTGAGGAACCCCAAAATCTAAGTTACAGGATATACGTTTTGCCAAAATGTTAATTTTAATGTGCCAATGTGTTGAGGAACTACAGCTAATTTTTCTTTATTTTTGCATCTTGGATAGCTAGACCAAATAATTTGTAGTTCTATTATAAGTTTTTAAAACTTATAATTTAATGAATTTTATTTGCCTCTTAGGATTCTGGTTTTCATCCGCAGAAGAGGTTAGTTCCCCTATATAGAAAGGTTGTCCAATTCCAGTTCTCCAGATGTTGTTGAGAGTACAACTCCCATAATTCCCTGCCCCTCTATTGCACTCAGAGAATTTGGGGAGATGTAGTCTATCAATATCTGCGGTTGGAGTGGAATTTGACAACATTGCCATTAGAGCGATCTATTTAGTATTTTATTCCAAGTCAATTATGTAGTATTAGCTGATGCAAAGTACCATAAATGCCCCAGGCACAATATACCTTTCCATTTTGTAGATCTGATCTGTTTGAGTGACTCACTATAATTGTACACAGCATTGCATGAGCTGATCTTTAGACTTCTTTATCTCACTAAATCAGATATATATATTTCACAAAGTCATCATATTCTGTAGCTGGCATGGGTTCCTATAAGGACAGTTCAGATTAACCCATTGAATACCAGGGAGCCAACAAGATGTGTCTCACCATATACAGAAAGTTAATAATCTGTTCAATCTCTAGTTTAGTTTAAAAACAACAAACAATTGTCTGTTGCCTATAGATATTTAGTGGTGAAACTAAAATGGATAGGCAATGCCCTGCCTGTAGTTTTATGTCTCCTCAATTTTTTTGTGTTTATTTTATAATTTATAAAATTTAAGTGAATTGCAAAAAAAAAAGCAAAGTTTTAAGCCCACATAACAGAGTTAGAAAATGTTTCCACAAATTCTACTTTGACCTAAGATATGCAATTCATTGATCAATTCCCCATACATGGTTATGTGTTTACCATCTATTCTGGGAAGTCGTTCCATGCATTCACAACCCTTTCAGCCATCTGTATATTTTGCTGATTGCACTGCTATGACTGGGATTGGCAATGAGAGCTCATGTTTCAGGACACCTGCACAGCAAATGGATTTAGAATGTAGTAAGAAGCCAAAGCAATTCTACGTTTTTCTTTATAAAAGCTTTATGTTTTCAATTAAAGTTATAGTAAAGTTATTCTCAGTATGTCCCTGTCAGGCTTTTATGTCAACATAATAACATGCATTTCTCATTGTTTTGAAACCCAGAGACTCTTAAAGGGACACTTCAAGCACCATAACCTCTCTGTTGTGCTTATGGTGCCTGGAGTGGTGTTTCCACAATATAAATAGTTTCACAACGGTTTGACTTATAACTTTGGTTTACCGAGTGCCACTCCCTGCCTCCACTATAACTACAGCAGGGCAGGAAGCTTCTACTTAGTTGAGCTAAGCCCTTTAATGCTGAGTGTCTGCGGAGTGTTTCTCAAACAATGAGCTATGCCCTGCACCACCGAATTTATCTCAGAGAGCATCCAACTCTCTTTGTAAAGTAGTGGACACAGGGAGCTGCACCCGGCAGTACCCAAGTAGGAAATTAAACCATTCTAAAATATTTACATTAGGGGGCTGGACACTTCTGACACCATAACCGCATTGCAGTGGTTATGGTGTTTAGAGTGTTTCTTTAAATGCGCCATCCAGTGATCAACTTAATACAACTTACTGTATATTGGATAAAACCTAAGGCTAGAACAGTAACACCAGTATTGTCTGTATAAATGTCACAGTATTAAAATAAAATCAAAAAATCTCAGGAGTCAGGTTTGTACTGTGCGACCAATCTCTGAGGCAGAAAATGGCGGCTTTGGACCCTCAGCTGCCAGAAAACTGTGGTTCCCATGAATCCCACCTTGTCCAAAATACTGCAAGTAACTGTCACAGGTCAGTGGAGGGCATAGTTCACACAACAGATAGAAATTCACATTGGATTACTCCTACTCCAAAAGAGATTCATAATACAGATGACATTTGCCTTTATAGACATCATAAATAATTCTACCATTTACAGTGGTATTATAGGATTGTTTTTATTGCCGCGGAGTGAACCTCTACTCAGTTTCAAAATACATAAATAAAAAACAGTTGCTAGGTGTGACTTCATGTAAATATTAAACCGTCCTTTAATTGTTATATTAAATAGAGGTAGTAAAACCATGCTGTATTTACATAACACTCGATGTGCAGGCTTGATGGTCATGGGAAGGCCTCAAACCTCTCACTTTATTGCTTGTTAAATGTGACATCTTTCTGCCACATTTAGATCCTTGCAGCCACTATCGATAATGCCAAGGTCGTCCTGCAAGTAGATAATGCCAGACTGGCCGCCGATGACTTCAGAACAAAGTAAGTAGCACATTTCTCATTTGTATGAAATGGCATATAGGGTCATTCACTAAGATGAGAATAGTTGGGAATGCAAAGAGCCCAAATTTAATACCAAAATAGCCAAACTAGAACACTTCTTTAGGTCTGCTTTACTACCGGTTTGGGCTTTAATTTAAAAATTCACTTTGAATTTCCAACACTAAATATTATAATTTAAAAACATTTTTTTTGCATCTACTGCCCTTTTATGAGGGTTCTGTGACAAAATTTAGACAATATACTTCTCAGTTGAGTCTACATTTTTGGGCATGGTGTGTTGCGGCATGTGCAAAGTTCTCTGTCTATATCCTGGCTGTGAGAACTTTAGTACAGTATATCTCAATGTCAACAGAGCCCCGTTGGTAAATGTCCAAGTTATACCTGACTAAACTGCAGGTGTTCAGTGGCAGAACATAGACTGCTCTGTATCCTCTACGGAACTGTGTGCTTTGGCTAGTCACTAGCATCCATTGTGTGCTTGTGTTTTGGCAAGCATCCCGGGACAAAGATGAATTAACTCTTTTTTTTTTTTTATAACTGTGCTTCTGGTCAGCCACAAACATGGGCGTTAGAAGTAGGAGGGGTTGGGTGGGGGATTCCTCCATGATAGTTTCATGTGTAAGGGTGTAGATCTGTATAATATGCAGCAAGTTAAATTACCCAGATGACATACAGTTAGAGGATTTAAGGAGATCCTCATACCGAGGTGGAGACATGGGTTGTCTGGAGAGATCTGAAATCTAGACAGACCAGCAACAGTGAAGGTTGCATGCCCCACGCGTGGCATGGAGGGCCCTCTTACATTTGTAGTTTCTGTAACTGGGCTGAGCAGGATGTCTTGTGGCCCTTTGCTCCCTCTTCAGGGCTGTCTCAGTAGACTCTGTGCAAACTATAGTTACACTGACACTACATACATAGACCGTTGTATTTACAGACACTACCACTAATCAAGCCTTTGCCTTAACAAACACATAGATGTCAAACATGAACCAACTAGTTTTAACAGAAATAAACAGAAATACAGTCCAGTTTTCACACATACAAAAACCTCCAAGCATTCACACACTTGAAATTTACTAAAGTTTTTACATACATTAACACAGAGCAGCATTACACACAAATACAAACATTCACACTGATTCTACACACACATATGGACAAATGGGCCTACATATACATGTCTTCACTCTGTGTATTCACTTACAAGTATTCACTAAATTGAGAATTATGAAATATTAAATTGGGTGTTTGGAAGTGCTGGAAAAGAGCCCAGCCAGAGACATTTTACAATTTGAATAGTTTGGAATTAAATTTAACATTCTGTTGTCAATTCACCACAATTCTTTGTTTTGTGGATTGTGTATTGTGTATTTGGCATACACATGGTCTATATGGTAGTTTGTGTTTTTGCTTATTCAAATCTATATGGTTTGATGTATGTGAAATGTGTTATTTTTGCAAAATATGTGGTCTGAGAATTTTAGTAATTTCCTACCCTCCATATATTTTTTTGGGTTCCTACAATCATCATAATAGCTCTTTGATTTCTAGTTGATCTACAACGTTCATCATCCTCAGCATGTCACTGCAGCAAAAATAAAGCAAAATAATATGTTATTGTAATAATTGCAAATAATTACGATGGTTTTGCTTCTTCATCAAGGTTTGAGAATGAACTTGCTCTTCGCCAGAGTGTGGAAGCTGACATTAATGGTTTACGTAGAGTGCTGGATGAGCTGACCTTGGCCAGAACTGACTTGGAACTCCAGATTGAGAACTTGAAGGAGGAACTTGCATACCTGAAGAAAAACCATGAAGAGGTAAGATCTGAAACAGAATCGATCAAATCTTAACCTGCATACAAATAATCATAAGATAATTGTATTGTGCTAAAAGTATGCTTAGATGCAGGTTACAGGTTCAATTGTAAAATTGTCTTAATTGTGAAATCATTCTTACCTCCTCTTTCCATACAGGAACTGAACGCTTTACGTGGACAAACTGGTGGACAAGTTAGTGTTGAAGTAGATGCTGCACCATCAGTGGACCTGACCAAGATTCTAACCGAAATGAGAGACCAGTATGAGGTTATGGCTGAGAAGAACCGTAAAGATGCTGAGACTTGGTTCCTCACTAAGGTTAGTTTAATGGATTTATTAGTTTATAAAATGAGTTGGTTAATCCAAGCCACTGTTCTACATACTGTGCAATGCTACTACTTCCTTATCATAATTCACTAAAATATATATTTTTAATGATTTAACTCTTTTATGTCCACAGTCAGAGGAACTAAACAAGGAAGTCGTAATACACACGGAACAGATACAAACAAGCAAGACAGAAATAACAAATCTAAGACGAACACTTCAGGGACTTGAAATCGAACTTCAGTCTCAACTTAGCATGGTTGGTATCTGTTGACTTGTCTTGGTAGATGGGCGCAGTAGGATAAACATAAGGATAAATGTACTAACCAAGTGGTACTTTATTGACATACTGTTATATCAATTGTGAAGTGAAGCCTCTCCACTTGCTGTTTCTTTAGTAAACCGTGGGCTCATGGTAAAGATCCTGGTAGGTTCTGCCCTTTACAAAAGACAGGAGCTTATAATATTTATTTCCATGTAGTGATACAAAGATATGATCTGACATTAGTTTATTGCCCATTAAGTGACCAGGTCAAAGCATAAAATAGTAAAAAAAAAAAAAAAAAAGATATGTGAGTAGATTCAGTTGACGAATGTAGTAAAGATATAGTGAAGTAGCAAATAACTGAAATAGGTAGTACGTTGTTTAGAGGTTATAGCATGAAATATTATTGTTGATATAATTCACAAGGATGTAGTTCAGCTCATGATGCACAGATTGGTACAATAAATTGACTAAACAATATGAAGGCAAAGTATGCCCTAAACATTTAGATTGGGGTGACAACTTGGCACTTACCCATTAGCCATTATCAAGTAAAAATTCAGTCATGGGGAGGAGAAATTAATCTCAAGTGAGACTGCCATTGACCCTCCAAGCTTGTAGTGATGAGTAATGTCTTGGCCTGGCTAGCAAAGTCGAGTAATGTGTAGTGATGAGTAATGTCATGGCCTGGATAGTAATGTAGAGTAATTTCTTGGCCTGGCTAGTAATGTCAAGTAATGTATAGTGATGAGTAATGTCTTGCCTGGCTAGTAATGTAGAGTAATGTCTTGGCCTGGCTAGCGAAGTCGAGTAATGTGTAGTGATGAGTAATGTCTTGGCCTGGATAGTAATGTAGAGTAATTTCTTGGCCTGACTAGTAATGTCGAGTAATGTATAGTGATGAGTAATGTCTTGGCCTGGCTAGTAATGTCGAGTAATATGTAGTGACGAGTAATGTCTTCGCCTGGCTAGAAATGGCGAGAAATGTGTAGCGGAAAGTAATGTTTTGACCTGGATCATAATGTAGAGCAATTTCTTGGCCTGGCTAGTAATGTCGAGTAATGTGTAGTGATGAATAATGTCTTTTCCTGGCTGGTAATGACGAGTAATGTATTGGCCTGCCTAGTAATGTTGAGTAATGTGTAGTGATGAGTAATGTCTTGACCTGGCTAGTAATGTATAGTAATTTCTTGGCCTGGCTAGTAATATCAAGTAATGTCTTGACCTGGCTAGTAATGTTGAGTAATGTGTAGTGACGAGTAATGTCCTGACCTGGCTAGTAATGTAGAGTAATGCATAGTGATGAGTAATATTTTGGCCTGGCTAGTAATGTTGAGTAATGTGTAGTGACGAGTAATGTCTTGACCTGGCTAGTGATGTCGAGTAATATGTAGTGACGAGTAATGTGTTGACCTGGCTAGTGATGTTGAGTAATATGTAGTGACGAGTAATGTCTTGGCCTGGCTAGTAATGTAAAGTAATGTCTTGGCTTGGCTAGTAATGTCAAGACTTTTGAGCCTTGTTTAAATATTTTGATAACATAGAAAATGAAAATCAATTTAAACCCCTGTGCTTTTTTATTTTTAGAAAGCATCACTGGAAGGCACTGTGGCGGATACAGAAGCACGATACGGAGCACAGTTATCGCAGATACAAAGTGTAATAGCCAGCATAGAAGCACAGTTTTCCGACCTCAGATCCGACATGGAGAGACAGAACCATGAATACAAGATGCTCATGGACATTAAGGCCCGGCTGGAGCAAGAAATTGCCACCTATCGACAGCTCCTGGAAGGACATGAAAAGTAGTGATTCCAACATCTGCCCCAAGTTAAACCACAGGTAGATCATGATGTAATAAACCAGTGCACATGTTACTGTCCTAGCCTACATAATGTATTAGATTAATAATATCCCACCCCGATCCTGTACGATGCCAACATGTGCAGAATCAGAATTTGAAACTGACCACATCCACCACCCCCATTTGCACAGATTTTGTACTTCATGTTGAGTTTTTACTGAGACATGGGGAGGAAGAAAGAATGGCAAATTTAACGGTTTAATGCTTAAACAAAAAATGAAGACATTCTGCATTTTTTGATATATGACAGGACTAAGACAAGACTTACTGTATTGGTAGTATTGCAAACACTGGGCTAACTCATCTTATCTTAAAGGGACACTATAGTCACCAAAACAACTCTAGCCTAAAGCAGTTTTTCTGTATAGATCATGCCTCTGAAGTTTCACTGATACAAACCTGTGTGCAGTGTGCCTTCCCCTAATTTAATGGGTTCCTCCCCGCCTCCGATCTTGAAAGGGTTGAAATTTTTTTTATTTTCAAGTCATTCCGGCTCCGAGGCTCCTTCTGCACAGCTAGGTTTCCTCCCCCTGCGACGTCTCGGTGATGGGCGTACCTAATACACATGCACATTAAAGCTTACTAATAGAAAAGCACTGAATCAATGCCTTCCTATGGGGAACTTGAAGACGTTAAATGTCCTCAAGCAAAGAGTGACAACTTTCAATGTTGTTTGACGAGTAAACACGAGTAAAAAACAAGTAAAACTCGGTTAGGGAGCCAGAAACACCTCTTGTGGCAGTCTGGAACCCAGCCACTAGAGGTGGAGGTAACCCTACAATGGAATTTTTGTAGTTTGCCAAACACTGCAATGTTTTACATTGCAGAGTTAAGGGGACAGGGTCACTGCCCCCTGGCCAACTCAATGAGATGACGTGGTCTAGGTGCCTATAGTGTCATTTTAAATGATTTCTTAAATGCTACACTCTAGTTGGGGATTCTTATACACTGACTATATCATGGAACTGGTATTTTGACCCTGGTAAACATATCATACTGACTGATATATTTTCTTTCCTACAGCTGTCAAAAAGTGAGACCTCTTGCATGAAAATTGGACTAGTGGGAAGAGGGACCTGCAATAACAATTACTTTGGAAAAGGATTATTAAAATAATCTGACATTGGGACGTGTTAATCTTTCTGTCGCCAATGACGCCTGCATTGCATTATGGGTCTTCAAGGCCCATGTCTACGTTAGTTGCTGATGCTTTGAAAGTTTGCTTGGGTAGTATCAACTTGACTTTTGCTTCAACTGTCTAATAAAACATATCTTTTGAGTCGTGCATACAAACAGTCTTGTTTATTGTCATTATTAAAAAGTGGCTTACATGACAAATAAATTGCAATAAAAATTAATTCCTTCAAGAGGACGAGACCGGAAAATCAGCACGATTCAGGGGAAGCTCAAAGGATGACCCAATGTAATAAATAAAAATATTGTAGTAAGTGGAGCTTACTCATTTAGTTTGTGCAAAGAATCTATGGATACCAGCCAGATTGTGTGTTGAACCATTTGGAAGTGATTTAACAAAAACAGTTTTCACCATCACCACTAGAAACAAGATAGATTGGGAGGAGATGTGGTACGAGTGCGATCAGTCACAGCTTTTGTCAAACCACTCTGAAACGGTTTAAAAAAGACAAAAAAAACCAAACAATTGTATTCAAATATTTTGAGTTCAGTTGAAACATACTATCGATTTGATTTCTGTAGTTGACAGTGTGTTTCAAGTGAAGGAAGATAATCCATATACCGTATTAGTTTTAACTGCTCAATCCCTGAGCAAAATACATATTTTTAATCATATACAAATGCTGCCCCATTTAGATGTTTGCTGAGATAAACTGAATCAGTTACAATTCTTTTTGAAACACAATGTCTGTCTGTGCTCATTTGCATGTCAAGCTGGGAACTCTGGGATAATTGTGGAAACATGATTTCTCAAGTTTCTATGGCCAAGAAGGACCATTCAAAGTCCAACTTGAGATATGCCTGTGATGTATAATTAATTTATTTGTATTTGCACTGTGGGGAGTTATATTGTGTTTGCCCTCACCACTTTTTTTGGTACATTTATAAAAGTTAGACACACATCGGGGGCGTGCTAGCAAGTTGGAGCAGAGAGGTCACTTGCATACAGGGGTTGTGAACTGCTGTTCTTCGGTGGATTAAGATAGCAGATGATGCATTGAAATGTCTGTTGACACAATACTATAGGAGTGAAGCAGCAGGCAGGATTCTGCGGGGCCCTTACTAGCCCAGCACTATGTAGCTTTGTATATGGGTTACAATCTCAGTGTTCTCCTGGACTGGCCCACTGGGATAATTCACGTTTAACCACATAACAGACCAGTTGTCAAAGGCAGCATTGAAGTATTGGAAACAGTCTGAATCTCTTACACACACCTCCCAACATTTCAAATGGGCAAAGAGAGACACTTTATTGAGTTTTAGGGGTGTGAGTGGGGATGTGGCTGAGGACGGGGCTGTTCTGAAAACTTTTAGGAGACTTACTAATAACAATTTAAAGAGCTAAAATGTAATTTAGAAAAAGAACAATATATCTTACTTACAAATTTCGAAACACATTTATTGTAGTATAAATACACATAACTGGGAGTTTTATTACTGTGGAGCTCTGTTACACACTCAGACACACTAACAATATGGAGCTCCTAGAAAAGAGGGACATTAGGATAGAAAAGAGGGACAGAGGGATTTATGCCAAAAATTGTGATTTATCCTCCTAATTAGGGACACTCTCTGTGAATGCTCTGTCATGCTGTGTGGGCCATACTGATACAGGTTGCAGACATATGTGAAGTCACAGCTTGCTATTCCAATAGTCTGCATCTGTTAAACCCCATCTATTGCATGTAAGTAGCACCATCCACATTGACATCTGAGTCTTCATACCTAGCCTTCTTTCCTGCCCACCTCTTGGGGCAGAAGAGAGCAGGAAAAGACAGCAAAATGCAAAGAGCACTGTGCAGGGCATATATCACTCAAAAAAGTGGGTGTGCTCAGCAACAGGGTGGTGGGCTCTGCTTGAGAGGGTAGCCAGGCCATCTGACAGCTATCCCAAGCAGACAATGCATGGTGCTCTGCTAAAGTATGCCATTCTTGGTTACTGTTGTAACGGATCACCTGGCAACCCGACTGGGTACCTCCGTTGAAGGATGCTCCTAGCGCTTCCTGAGAGCTCCAAGCACTTCAGCCGACACCATAACCACCGTAGACTCCTTCAGAGAGCAAGACAGGAACAGGCTCTTAAAAGAGCTTAGAAGTGTTTATCCAAGGGAGCATGCAGAGCATAGTAATCCCTTGTAGTGATATAGCAATTCCCCCAATAAGAGACAGGACTCTAGATTGAGGGTGAAGAAGAACTGTCTGTGCTGGCACATACAGCCTCTTTTATTCACATTCTACAAACATAGTACTGCCCACAGGGTTTTGAAGCACAACCAATCAACACATTATCACACAGCTAACACTTCCATCATTACATCAGAAATCCTCACCTCTGCCTGTGATACAATTATCTCAACACAATAGACTAACTTAATTATCACAGGCAGGAAAATACAGTATTATAAAACATATCACAGGGACCCCAAAACATGCAATAACCCCATAAAAAATATATCCTCGGAACCACATATCCAATTCACCCAGATCCGTTCAGTAGTTTGGAAGATGCAGTTTATTGCAGATGCCACAGAACATATACAGGCTATATGAAAAATAATTACTGTTAAATGTGTCCCCTGTTCTATAGTTTAAAACTACTGCACGATGTATTTGTGCACCAAATACCGGTGAGATGGCAACGTGTAGAAAAGTCAAAACAGTGTCTGTGAGTTAAATTGGCCGCCATCCATTGTTCTCACCATGTGCTTCATCCATTGTTCTCACCATGCGCCTCTGATACATGAAATGGTGAACACCCAGTAACTCCACAGTATGTCCCCAGATGGTTCTTAAAGGGCCAGCAGCAGCATAATAAAATACAATATGCCCAAATCAGTTCCTTAAAGGGCAATACATCCCAGGGCCATAGTCGCAGGGCAGGAGGCTGGCAAACAGGCCCCTCCAAACATCAGTGGAGAGGTCACTTTTGCCACAACCGTGCCCAGGGAAGATTCCCAGGACCTAAGTCAGTAGCTCAAAATGCAGGACTGTCCTGAAAAATGCGGGACTGTTGGCACCTATGTTACTTCCCCTTACACACATACCTTTTGCCTTTCTCTAATTTGGGGCATATCTTTCTATTTTTTCTTCTCTTTTATTTTATTTTTTCATCTAGGCAATCAGGGACCGTCGTTCTTGAACATACAGTGTGACGGAGAACTCAGGCACCCCTGGGAATTAAGGTTAAAGGCATGTAAGGTAACTGCTTGCAGCACCTTATTTGCTTCTGGGGACACAAGGTCGTAAGCTCCATGCAAATGCCAGAACAAATGGATATTGTGCAATCATTCACTTCTTAGCAACGGGTTCATATTGATTTATCCAGCTTTGTTGATTATTCGTATTCTTATTTTGCAGAGATATCTGCTACATGTGTCATGATTGTTTTCTGCTTTGTGGACAGAAGGTTGGGAAATGCTGGCACTGTATAGTAACCACACCCTTGTGTACTTCAAACTTTCCACACTTCTTAGCCTGACAGGTTTGCAATGCCCCCTGCTCAAAGCCATGTACTTTCAGACGTGAGTCCTGGGCAAATGAGTCCTTGGCAAATTGAGAAAAGGCTCTTATGCAACAGATCTAACGTGGATTACGATTGGTCATAACTAAAGTAAATATTTTATTTCTTTGTTCGCTATTTCATTTTGTAGAAAGTAGAGATTAGACTTGTACAATAATACTTTTTATCCGGTATGAATGTATCCAATTCCTTTTAATCTACATTCCAAACAAATTGGTTCGTCCGGTATTTACCTATGGAGTCATATTTAATGAATAAGACTCCACAGGTCAATACCAGGCCGATTGATTAATTCGGGGGTAGATTAAAAGGAATTTGATTCCTTCATACCAGTTGAGAATTGATTAATTCGGGGGTAGATTAAAAAGAATTTGATTCCCTCAAACCAGTTGAAAAGCATTAAAGGGTACCTTACCTGACTCTCTGCTCCTGCACCGCATTATGCTTACGGAGGTGGGTGTTATTTTGTAACACGCACCTCTGGTACAACCGCCTGATCTCTTCATTGAAACCTCCTCCAGCACATCGGCCTCTGACTCCATTCCTCGATTCCCTAGCTAGTAGTAGCAGTGTAGGCTAGGGAGTTACCATAGCAACCACAGCACATTATTATTATTATTATTTATAAAGTGCCAACAATTTCCGCAGTGCTGTACATGTACTGTGGTTACAATTTGTGGAAAGCAGAAGGACCATCTGTGCGTAGGGGTGTTTTTTTGCTCTCGCTTATCAGTCAATTCTTCAGCATAGAGTTTAGGCCAAAGAATTGATTGACAGCAGGGAGTAAAAAAATATATTTTTAAATAGGTTTTTCTTCCAAACTATACATTTGCTGCTAGCATTATTTATAGATGACATTTGAGCAGAAGTAGGTTTGCCCATGTGAGGTTCCCTTTGATGCACAAGTCTAGAGGCACACTTTTATTTATCGAAACTTGATCTTTAATTTAAATTTTAAAAATATATATTTTTAAGTAAAAACATACATGCTGCAGTAATGAAAGGGATAGGATACTGCAGCAAGTGCTCCCTGTACAATTACCGAGGGTCAAATATGGTCACTATATTGAGAGGGGGTGATGGGATACCTTAATGTAAACCCATACAGTGACACGCACTCACATACAGATTGACCAATATGGATATGCAAATGTAAGGACTCCTCAGACAGCCTTTTGGAGATTCTACTAACAAGTAAACAGTCTGGCATCTCTATTTGTTTTTGATTTGATAAAGCCTGATTATGGACTAAGCACACTAAACCTATACCTAATCCTTAACTATAGTGGGGGACCCAACCGAAATCTCAAACGTGAAAAAGTGTTTGAGGACATTCTATAAGCTGTAGGCTTGAGGACATTCTGTAAGCTGTATGGACTTCTGTTAGTTAAGTGCTCCTTTGGAACTTCATATTGAGCCAGCATCCAGTCTCAGGATGACACACACACACACACACGGACCTACAAAGTCAGACTGACCCATACAAAATGACTGAACAAAAAAAAATTAAAAAGTTCCATACACAATCATACAGATTAGCACACACACACACAGCATTAAATAATGCTTTCCTATGGGGAGGTCTAATGCACGCATGGCCATTGCAGCGCATGCGCATTAAGTCTCCCCTGCCGGCTGATGTTGGCGGGGAGGAGCGTGGGCGGAGCCTGACCCAACGCTGAAAGAGGGGGGCCCGAGGGAGGGGGGGACCTATTAACCCTATAGTGCAAGGAAAATGGCTTTGCTTTCTTGGCACTATAGAATCCCTTTAAGTTACAGAGAACTGGGCTGGTGCTGCCCTGTCCACTTTTTTCTCAGGAGAAACGCCATTCCCACGCGTTCCAGCAGGACTCGTGCAATGTCTTCATCAGAGTTCACTGAGTGGGTTGGTATATCTGTTACACACAGAAACCAATTTCATGCTCTGCTTAGTTTTTATGAGTTCAGGCACTGTGAATGTGGTACAATTATACATGCTGTATATATATTTATGGCAGCTTTTCAAAAATAAAAAACACTGTTATGGGAACGGCTCTCTTTCAAAACATCTATTGCTTGATTGATTACCTCCCTGCTCTGATTGTGTGATAACACTATGACCTTGTGTAAACTGGAGGATAATGCTGAGCGCACATTTTAAATAGGAGACAGATATCTGTTTGTTAGAAAGTCACACTGGCATGGCGATAGTAATAAAATTTGAGATAAACACCACTTTCATCCTCCATTGACATACCGCTGATCTCTATAGCTCTGCCTCCTTGAAAGTTGTTGGAGTAATAACTAAAAATAATAATATAAACTTTGAACATATTTTAGGGCAATGTAAAATCCATTATTATAAAATGCAAAGAATGCGGCATAAACTCACCCAGAGAAGGTTGTCAATAAAAACTCAGTAACCTGGTAAGGAGTACATTAGTCAGAGATGCAATCAAGGGGTAACTCTAAATGAGATGGAAAGATTTGCAGATTAGATGGACAAACTGTATTCCAGAAACATCATGAATATGTGGCTGATGGAGAAGGACTTAAAGGGACATTATAGTAACCAGAAAAAACTACAGCTTAATGTAGTTGTTCTGGTGTTTATAACACGTCCCCGCAGACATTTTAATGTAAACACTACCTTTTCAGAGAATACCGAATTACGTAAAGAAAGTAGCTCGATCCTCATTTTTACACAGAGAACCGGTATTAGTGAACGACCTCCTGGACGCAATTAAATCTTCCTCCACACTAAAATCCTTTAGAAGATCCCTGTCAACATCTCTCTCTTACCTGACAGGCGCACAGTCGGATTTACCGGCATATGCGCTAACCTTACCCTAAACCCATTAAGACAAGGAAACACAGGTTATACTGTTGGAAATATTAGTCCACAGATTTATTAATTATTAATTAATGAACAAATAGGGTAATTGCTAACAAATATTATTAAACATTGTTATTGTTATATACATAACATTCCCATGGCAATGACCCCACAATAATAACAATAAATAACAATCTAATTAACATATTAACATATTAACACAGAAACTGGCCGTCCAGTATGACCACATTTCCACCAGATTAAATTGTAGCAGTGTACCAATACACCACTACACCCACAAGTTTAATTGTAGGGGTGTACCAAAACACCAATACATGCCTGGGTTCGGAGCCACCCACGGGCTTGAACCTACCAACCAAGTGTAACACTGCCTAATCAACACTAAACCTGAGGATGCCCACTTCCTCCTCCATCTACCCCCTGATTTAACCTGGCCATTCCCCGCAACAGCTCAGGACTTGACACCTAAAGCTCCTGAGCACGCCCCACCACACCTAAACAAGGCCTGTTGAAGACCCTCCTGAAGGCCCAAAATAAATAGGTCACACCCAACATCTGAAAGATTGACACCATCCCTCCTAAAGTACCCAGGAGCATGCCTTCCAATTCCCTGTGCCTCACTGCCACTCCACCAATATGCCTAATAAAGACAGCCATCATTTTATTGATTTGTCCCCGACACCGAGCCACCATGGCAGGGTCCTTGGCATGTCGCCAGTGAAACCGAGGAACCATCTCAGACCACACCACCACCACACCTGGAGCCAGCTCCCGTAGCCGGTCCACATCCCTCTTCATCCATCTGACCAATTCTTTTTTTGGACCATGCCCAGATCATTACCTCCAGCATGGATTAACAGTACATACGGAACAGTGCCCCTTGCCAACCTCCGGAAAATTTCACCACTAATGCCTTGCCAACCAAAACCCCAAAAATCAAACCACTCCAGTGATCACCAACTCCAGAGGAAAGCCCTGCTGCACTCCTTGTTTCCAAACTGCGGCTCTCTTCTACGCCCAGTAGATGTAAGAGTGGCCCACCAACCAGTGCACCCAACCTAAAATGAAAACAGAATCAGTGACAAGGCATAACACCAAACACCACCCCACCAATCCACACCCATTACACCAAGTGTTCAGGCTGTAAGTAGGACTTAAAGTATTGAAACCCCCGATACTCCCGAGAGGTACTCACCAGTTCACCAATCCGAAAGGCCCCGAAGAACGCCCACGAGAAGGCAACCGAGAATAACTCCACCTTAAAAGGAGATGAACACACCGCTGGCAGCACCCCCCACTAAGCACTTCAAAAGATCTTCTAGTATCCACCGATTTCTTACCTCTCCTAAAGACCCGTAAGGCTTGACGAATGAGAAAATGTTGTAACATCCTCCCAACCATTCAACTTAAACAGAAATGCCAATGCCACCATATTCCTGTCGATCACAGACAGAGACAAACGCTGTGCAAACAAATGGCATAGGAACCACAGTAAAGTATCTAACCGTCCCTCCCTTGACTGGAACACCCCTGTGTGACCTACTGCCTCGTCCCATGCATCCCAAACATTTACATAAGCAGCCCACGTACCAGGCGCCAAAGAATTCCTTATGAATCCTCCAATCATGACCTCCCGAGCTGCCATATCTCTTCCAGACAGGCCTGTCTATCCTTTCACGCCCCCGGAGTCACCATCCAAAACCATTCCCACTGTGAACGAGACAAGGAATTAGCCCACGTTTAACAAACCAGGCACGTGACGTGCCCGAAAAACAATATTAAACGACATACAAAACAACACAAAACACCGTAATAAGCATACCACTGGGACTGAAGAAGCGGACAAGTGGTTAATCGCATGAGCCACGACATATTGTCCGCAAAAAACATAACTTTCCCGTCCCACAGCAACTCCCCACACAACGCCAAAGCCAACATCAACGTGAACAAATCAAGAAACGCCAAATTACACATAAGAGGACTTGCTTTCCAGGTCTCAGGCCACTGAGAAGCACACCACCTGCCTGCCAACTATGCCCCAAAACCTATACTCCTTGAAGCATCCGTGAACAACTCAATATCCTCAGAAGAAGCTGCCGCTTCACAAAAGTAGACCCGTCTGTTAAAATCACATAAAAACAATTCCCAGACCCACAAATCCGCCTTGACCATGACAAAGTGGCACAAAGACCAGACCCCACAAGTTTCCTTTGCAAGAAAACTGCTAAAAAGTCTCCCAATGGGAATTACTCTACACACACAATTCAGACTGCCTATAAAAGACTGCAGTTTTCTCAACTTAACCTTTCTGGACCAAGTGCAATCAACTTACCCCTAGGCAGCCGACATTCCCCTGCCACTGAATCAATCTCCAAGCCAAGAAAACTGAGACTGAAACTGAGAAAAAAGTGGTAGGGCCCACCGTCTTGTCGGCTGCTAAGGGTAACCTAAATGAATGAGCCACCCATTCCAAAGATCGCAAGGTATGGCCACAATGGCCCAACCCAGCAGTGCCCACACACAAGAAGTAATCGAGATTGTACTAAAGAACCCCCACCCGATTCCTCCTTCACCACCCACTCCAAAAAAGAACTAAACTTTTTGAAGTAGGAACATGAAATAGAGCAGCCCATAGGCAAGCAAAAGTCCACAAAATAAGCCCTGTCAAACATGCAACTAACAGATGGTGACAATTCGGATGTATTGGCAGTAATCGAAAAGCCGACTCCACGTCAGCCTTCGGCATTAATGCCCCACGTCCTGCCTTCCGAACCAACTCAATCGACTGGTCAAATTATGCGTAGGAGACAGAACACAGGCCCGCATCAATGTCATCATTCACCGAAGAACCTTTCGGATATGACAAATGATGGATCAGGTGGAACTTACCCAGTTCTTTCTTAGGCACCAAGCCCAAAGGTGAAATCTGTAAATCCGCCAACGGAGGTTGTGAGAACGACCCCGCCATCCTACCCAGCTGAACCTCTTTAGCCAATTTATCTCAAACCACTTCCGGATGCTGCACATCCGACTTCAAGTTGTCACACAATTGACCAAAAACCTTTTCCTTGAAAGGAATACCAAACCCTTTTGAAAACCCGTCCAACAATAACTGTGTGCCACCCTGGTTACTGTAACGGCTTAGCCAAGGCAACATCATGCCGACCTTCACTGGGGTTGCCCCCAGTGGAAGTGGATGGCACTGATGTACTGATGTACTTGAAAATGCTGTATCTTTTTATTGTTGTTTAGTAGTTCAGTCGTGTCCGACTCTCTGTGACCATTTGGACAGTAGCACACCAGGTACATCTGTCAGTCACTGCCCTCTGAGCTCCAAAAACTTCATGTTCGTGGCTTCAGTGACCTCATCTATCCATCTCCGTCTCCGTCTTCCCCTTCTTCGGGTGTCTTCCGTCTTTCCCAGCATCAGAGTCTTCTCTAGAGAATCCTGCCTTCTCATTATATGGCCAAAATATTTGAGCTTCAGCCTTATGATCATAGCTTTCAGTGAACAGTTTGTCTTGATTTCCTGTAGTACGGATTTATTGGATCTTCTTGCAATCCAAGGGATTCTAAGCAGTTTTCGCTTTTACTGTCTAACAAAAAATAAAGAATGGCCATTTTTTGGGGGACAAATTGCCAAATTCACCAACTTCTTGCCAAGAAGCATATTCAGAAACTGCAGGATCCGTATGTGCAAAGCTGGTAAGGACTTACCCCAGAACACTCATGGCCGTGAATGGAGCCAAACTGGTCCTAAAAAGTATTGAGTTAGGGACGTAAATACCTATAAGACCAACAAAAATCAGTTGTGTTTTTAAATGAAATTTAATGTTACGATTAAAAAAACAACACATCTGACTTATTCATAGTGTTAGGTATGTTGTATAAAACAAATGGTAAAAAAAACAACAATAAAATCCATTTAAATACCAGTTATATTACTACAAAATGTAGTGATGTCCAACAGTGTCAGTGCATACTCTAAAAAAAGAGAGTACATTTTCCCATGCTTAATATTTGACTCTTAAACCTGTGCTTTGTTTAAAACATTTTTTTTTATTTATTCTAAATATTTTTCCTATGTATAAAATAACCATTAAAAAATCAGTAAAATAAAAAAAAAAATCTGGCAGTAGGAGGACTTACATAATAATCCATACTTATTTAATCTTCTTGTAGTTTTAGGCAAATAAAATTTAACGTATTTAATTGTGGATATGTCACCCTAAGGGTAATTGTTCTTAATCTTATCAAGATTTACAACATGTGAATTTAACCTGTAACTATAAACTATTAACTTTTGGTCAGAGAGTGTATACCTTGCTCAGGTTACAAACTAAATTCCCAACTCTGTTCTTTCCATTTCTTGACAGAGGGGGTCACTCACGTTCTGAGGAGCTCAATATCTTAGCTCTGTGACTGTGTATATTTGCCAAAGTTTTCTTTGACCTATTCTTCTCAACATAATGAGCTCCCTTTTATCTCTCTGTGTATCTCTGGTGTCGAAATTCTACTGTTCTCATAGGTTGCCTGTGACACGTGTCAGATTTAATCTCAAATTTTATTAGAGCAAATCCTTTAAGAATTCATAAATCCCAAAGATAGGGGTAATTAATCTGTTCGCATCACTACTGCTTCTCCCCAGTTTAGTTTAATAGATTTCGTTAATCCATTACAGCATGGTGACTTATGGGGACTATATTTTATCAGTGTAAGACACTAACTTTTCTCATACAGTTTTGTGAATGTTGACATTTAAAGGATCACTATAGTGTCAGGAAGACAAACTAGTTTTCCTGACACTATATTATTATTATTTTGTTATTTATATAGCGCCATCACATTCCGTAGCGCTGTACAATGGGTATACTATAGCATCCTTAGGACCGCCACCCTGAGGGTCCCCCTCTCTTGGCGCTGAAAGGGTTAAAACCCTTCAGTTACTTACATTAATCCAGCTACGGGCTCCCTCGGCGCAGGTGACCTCTCCTTCCCCGCCGGCGTCAGCTCCCGAGTGCTTTCCTATGGACGTTCTGCACGCTGGATGCGAATTTCACATCCAGCGTCGCAGAAACGCCTCTAGCGGCTGTCAGGAAGACAGCCACTAGAGGTTGGATTAACCCTGCTATGAAGGGTTAAAACTTGGGGGACCTGGCAACCAGACCACTTCATTGAGCTGAAGTGGTCTGGGTGACTATAGTGTCTCTTTAAATACAAGGGTGTAAGCTTGTTTGAGCAGGGCCCTCAATGCCCTCTGTTCTTGTGTGTCTAGCTTGTCTTGTTGCAGTTCCGTCTGTTTGTCCACCTACTGTACATCGCTACCAGGGTCGTAGGGGTCGCAGCTGCGACCGGGCCCGGCCCACCAGAGGGCCCGGCCGCCCTGCAACCCGGTATGTATGCCAGTGTGGCCAGCCTCTTCTCCGGGGGACCAGGAGCTGGCCACCTCAGAGCCCCTCCCCCCCGAGGCTGGCCCTGGTGACACCGGGCGGCTGGTCCTGCAGGCGCGCGAGGTAGCACTCTCCCCTGAGCGCTCTCTGCCCAGCTCCCTCGCGCGCATCGCACTGATGCCAGAGCTGGAAGATGACGGCATCAGTAAGCGGCGCGTGAGGGAGCTGGGCAGAGAGCGCTCAGGGGAGAGTGCTCCCTCGCGCGCCCGCCAACCCAACAGACAGCCAGCCAGACAGCCAGCCCGGTGACCGGCCTCCCAGCAGCACCACTGGACCCCAGGGAATCCCCTCAGCACTCCCAAAGGTAGGGAGGCTGGGGGATGCAATTTAAAAAAAAAACGTGTGTGTGTGTGTGTTAGTATTAGAGTGTGTGTGTGTATGTGTGTTAGTATTACAGTGTGTATGTTAGTGTTAGAGTGTGTGTATATGTGTGTGTGTGTGTGTTAGTGTTTGTGTCAGTGTGTGTGTTACTGTGTGTGTGTTAGTGAGTGTCAGTGAGTGTTAGTTTTTGTGTGTGTGTGTTACTGTGTGTTTGTGTGTGTCTGTTATTGAGTGTGTGTC